CTTTGCCGCATTAGGAAGGCTGCCCCACAGCCTCCTATGATGGCCCCCTTACCGGAAGCTAGAGTGAATGGATTTGCGAGACCATTCACGCACACTGGGGTGGACTATTTTGGACCGTTGATGGTCAAACAAGGGCGCAGCTTGGTGAAGAGATGGGTAGCACTATTCACCTGCCTCACGGTGCGTGCCGTACATTTGGAGATTGCACACACCTTGTCCACCCAGTCGTGTGTGATGGCGATTCGGCGCTTTGTGGCTCGTCGTGGTTCTCCGGAGTCCTTTTACAGTGACAACGGGACGAATTTCCTGGGAGCAAGCAACCTGCTGGCAAAGCAGATCCAGGACATCCACGAGAATTGCGCCCTAACGTTCACCAATTTCCAAACCAGATGGTATTTCAACCCACCTTCTGCGCCTCACATGGGTGGGTCATGGGAGCGTATGGTGCGCTCTGTGAAGACGGCCATGGCAGCGATTGCCGATCACCCACATCATCCCAGTGACGAAGTGCTGGAGACGGTAGTCCTAGAAGCAGAAGCTATCATCAATTCCAGGCCGCTTACCTACATCCCGCTGGATTTCCCCGAGCAAGAATCGTTAACACCAAACCACTTTCTGCTCTTCGGCACAAAGGGCGTAGTGCAACCTGAGATGGCGATCCATACTAGCGGAAGTACACTACGGGATAGCTGGCGTCTCGCGCAGACCTTGGTGAATCACTTCTAGACCCGGTGGGTTCGGGAGTACCTTCCAACGATAACTAGGCGCACCAAGTGGTTTGAGCCAACGAAACCACTCGAACCTGGAGACTTGGTACTCGTCGTCGAGGAAGGAAAACGGAATGGGTGGCTGAGAGGTCAAGTCGTTGACGTGACCAAAGCCGCTGACGGACAAGTGCGGCGTGCAGTAGTGCACACGAAGAACGGACTAATCACGCGACCAGCTGTGAAGCTAGCTCCCCTGGACCTTCAGGTATCGGGATTCTCCGGAACTACACGGGCGGGGGAATGTAACGGAACCACAGGGCAGTCTCGTTTGGTAGCTGAGTGAGTTCCGTATCACCCAAGACCTGTCAGCGAAAACGTCAGGGAGAGTACAACGGGTGACGTGGCTCTCAAACGTCACAGGCAGCATAAAAATCGTTGACACAGAAGAAACACAAACGTGAAACAACGAATAAAAACAAGGAAAATTAAGGTTAAATTCTTAAAAGTAACGCTTAATTATTGCCTAATCAGGCTAATTAGATAAAATTATGATCTAGTAAATGCAAAGTGACTAGGTGGCAATTACTTCAGCTTTGCACTGGGTGACGTTTTGCCTAAAATTAGAAACTTAATACTTGTTACAAGTACGGAATTAAATAATTTCCAAATTTGGAAGATAGTTTCGGGTTAGATTAGAGGAGAACACGAAATCCTTTGAAGCTGGGTACAACCTGCTATCGGGACGCGTTTCTCTCCCAATCCGAAACAGTTAATAATGAATTAGATGATAGGGTAGATTTTGATGAAGAACCGCAAATTTTTTGTAAGGGATTTAGGTGTACCAAAGCCGAATTAGATTCGGTTTTGACAACTGGAATTGCCGAGGTACAGCGTTGCAAGACAACGTCAGCAGTTTTTGAAACATACGCCAAAACATTCCATGAAATTTTGGAACGTTCGACGTATGCAGCGATAACTGCTGACTCTTGTACGCAAACTGCAACTCCCAAATTGCAGCGTTCGCAGACAAATTATGTATACGCTGGATTTTGGGAAAGCTGTACCCATCGTCAACATTGTAGTGTTCAAACCGAGGAACCAAATTTGACGTTTTCGAAGCAGCCTACTGTGATGCTTCTCCAAAATTCCAGAGACCCAAACCCAAATTTAGTAAATAAATTGTTTGGCTGGAAATCTATTATCTCGACGTTTTTGGCTTCGGCTGTGTTCCTCGGATTGATGGAAATTCTAAATTTGTTCTAGCAGTTTGGCGTAGATTTTTTTGTGATTAGATCGAGCTCACTGGTGTGTGGTCCAACGAATTTCATCGAAATTATTTAGCTTCTCCGAGGTCTTCTGAAGAGTATAGGTGTTGTAGCCGGGTACAAGCTAATACTTAGAGCTACCATCTTTGCTCCGACGATTCCTTGGAACCCATTAACACCGAATAGGGACCTTTTGGTGAATAAAATTTGTTTAGGGACCGTGCTTGGATGGCCCATACCATACTATTGGGAGTGTCGTCCAAGCAAACCAATCGATGTGGCAGAATGCTTTCATCGAAGATCTTGTTTGATTATGAAGTTCGAAGGACCACTACTGTGAGCTCGACCGTTGCATTTCGGAATACAAGTGTTAGGTGTTGAGATATAGGATATAGTTATAAAAGATAGAGTTTACAGGTTCTAGTCAGATAGGTAGCCAGAAAAAAAATAGGTAGCTAGGACAGGAGCACATATGTGATTGGCAGGGAATGTGGTGGGAGTTTAAATGTACTGAAAAGTTACCCCTTTTTAGGATTTCGATCGAAACGGGTTGTAATAATCGGTTTTGATCGAAATAAGAAATAGAGGTGACTTTTCAGTACATTTAACGGGGCTTATCACATATGTACTCCTTTCATCTTGTTAGTTAGCTACCTCCAAGAATGGGCCACATTTATCAGCATAACATTTTCCGGAATAGTTGGTTTTCGAATATTTTAGAAAAGAAAGTTTTAAATTTTTAATAAAATGGGAGCATTTCCTTCTTTATGTGTTCATTACGTTGTTTTAATACTGATATTTTGATCGTTTGTTTATGTTTCATTTGATATTCGAATAAAGAAGGCAATATTCCCATTAGCAAAATTTTTAAAATAGAATGCAATATTTCCGTTTTGAATGACTATGATTTTAGACATTCCGGTAAATGGCCCGTTTTGGGGAAATGAAACTCCGTTAGATGCATTTTTAATCAGTTAGGAGCTAGGACAGGAGCACACATGTGATTGGCAGGGAATGTGGTGGGAGTTTAAGAGTACTGAATTCTTTGTTCAGTACTCTTAACGGGGCTTATCACATATGTGCTCCACTATTCTTGAAACACAGGATAGAGTTGATTTCAGGTTAGGGAAAGTTGGTAGTTTGAGGGAAATTTCATATAATAGAAAATAAAGAAGCAAGAAATGTAGTCGCGCCTTTGTCTTAAAATACTTAAAATTGCATTTGCGCATTTCAGGGGAAAAAATAAGTTAAAAAACATCCCAGCAATTTAGAGCAATTTTGTTTTGGATTAAGTGTATAAGGCTTCAAAAGATCCTGTTGACAAATGAATAGCTCAAATAGTATTGCGTAACTAAAGCTAACCAAGACATCATTGTGGAATGCTCGTCGGCAGGGGAACTATGCCATTAGCGCGAAGCATTTTTAAACCACTGATGCTGGCGCCAACTAGTATCGTTTTTACTATTGGCTCATCACTTGATGCAATAGGATCAGATCCGTCTTTAAAACAAGATGGGTACGTGTGTCAGTTTTTGATCTCAGTCGTTTTCTATTTGACCCTGTCTTGTTGAGATGGTTATTTCGGCATTGTCATATTCATCTCGGGTTTGCTATAATAGTGATTTACTCACTGTATTTAATAATTTTAGCCTGAACCATTGGTCCGGAATGTCTACCGTAGAACCCGAAATGGACCGTGGAGCAGTAAGAGGCATTTGTGGGAACATAGAATTGGGCTAACAATAAGCCTTACCAGAACGAAAATGATCGCCGGTAGGTAACGTGATAGACATAGTGGTGTTGGTATGTCTAGAGGCTTTATAAATCAACTAAAGATAACTCTTAGGGAACATCCATAAATGACGCGTGTGAGGGGGAGAAGGGGTCTCAGAAATTGTGACCGTACATTGCAAAATACGCTAAGAGGGAGGACAGTGGATCTAACATTGATCAAAGTTATGCTATGTCATTTATGGATGGTCCCTTAGGTCTACTTCAGTTATCATTTAAGATCTTATATGCCAACTACGGTGGACTTACCTTGGGTTGATATCAGGCTTGACGGGCTCTTAACTTAGCTGACGGCTGCTATCCATATTGTCTGCTATAGAAGGCTGAATTTCAAATGCCCAAATCTGCAAATGAAAAAAAAAATGAAATTAATTTAAAAAAAATCAGAACAGGGTGAGTGAGTCAGTAGTGGAGGAACTAAGACAATTTATTTATTAAAAACATATTTATGCATACAATTTATATACGTCAGATCATAGCTTTAAATCTCTATTTTACTAGAAAAATATTACATTGTGATTAAATTGTACATTTTTCAAAAACTCGTCCTCCATTAATAATTGGCAAGTTGATTAATATTGGTTTCCTCCCTAAATATTCTACTAATTATACTATAGAGATTCTAAGATTCCACATCCGTACCGACTAAATACCAAAAACTACATAAGCCCAGAACGCGTTTGACAAGCGAATTGGACATTATGAAAGCTTCGTAGGTCGCGTTGAGTCCCAACAGCCGCGAAAAGTTCAAAATGCACTTGATAATATAGAATTAAAAAAAAACTCTACCTACTAAAGTAGCCACCACAAAATTTAAGATTAACCGATAGGTATGCGATATATATAGAATCTCGCTCCATTATGACATGAGATTAAGACTTAGTCCTCCCACCAACGTCAAGGTGCAAAAACTAGCCCTTGGGAGGGATGTTCATAACCTTTTTTCCTTCAAGATTTAATTTCCATATTAACGTGTTATATGATGAATTTGCCCCCGAATTACGGTATTCAATTTAGAGTTGCGTTTATTCTTTTTGTTTGAATGCTTCATAATAATACATAATAATACAAATCAGTAAGAATTCGAGGAGCAGTATAACATTTTATAGAAGTGCGGGGAATTTTGAAAAAGAAATATCAAACAATTTCGTAAAAGTTTAGAGCTGCATAACATTTTATAGAAGTGCGGGGATATTTTTAAAAAAGTAAAGAAAATAAAGCCGAATCTAAGCCACGCTTACCCGTTCGGTGTTGATACCGGGCGAAAAGCGGGACAAGCTGGAAGTAAAAGCGAAAGAGGTCATAGTCTATAGACTCCACTTACCGTCTGGTCTGATTGGTGTTTCAACTGAAAGGATAACCGTTATTCGGGACGTGAAAATCTTGAGCAGCTTCAGTTGCAACGTTGATGAGTGCAACGAAGTGGTAGTTCCTCTATCGAAGAAGAATCCACCTTTGTCCGAGATATGCGTTGAGGCCACTATGGATCCGGGTGAGGATGTCTTCGAAGATGCTTTGCAAAGGGTCATCTGCCTGCTCCAGTATATCGAGTGGAAATTGGGATTCAGGGGAATCCTTAAACTCTGAAGGAATCGCTTTCTGGCCCTGATGGCGACAAAAAGGTTATGCTGCAAGAACTTCTGAAGCGTTTCTGAACGGTGATCTTGAGGAGGCACAGTTTATGCGCCTGCCTCCGGGGTTCGTCGTAAAAGGTGCTGATGCTGAAGCACAGTAAGTACACACTTTAAGTAGAACGTACCTTGTTTTTTAATAACTTGTTTATCCCTCGATTTATTTCCTGTAACATAAAAACGTGCGTTAGAATAAAACGAATAAATTAATAGAAATAAAAAGAAGCGCAAAACCGTACCGTAATGTTTTTTATTCCGTTCCAATTCAATTCTGTTGTCCGTGTCTTGTCGATCCTTCCCATGTATATAAAAAAAATGGTTGAAACGAATGACAACAATTCTGCTTTTTTTCAGTGGTTGCTGAGTTTTTTTATCAGTGATTTCTGATTGCTGCGATTTTTTACAGAAACCGAAACGTGTTTGAGTGTTTGGAGCGCATCATTGTCTCTCGTTCGAAGTACGATTCTTGAAACTTTTCCTGTAACGTTCTTGAATTTGATAAAATTTCTTCACCCGACCAACCATTTATTTAAATTTCTTCAAATTGCGATACATCGGCCTTTAAAGCCATTCATATAAAAAATCGATAGCGATCGTCACCATTTCATGAAGCCATTCAAAGCTACTCCAAGTCTAATAATGAATAATTTATAAAGATTTTTATCAAAATCTCGATACCAATCGTTAACGATGTAAAGATAACGATTTATGTTGCCAGTTCAGTACTGATCTTTACGTGGATTTATTTGAAACGTAATTAAATATTATAAAAAAATATTTTTTGCGAAGCGTGGAAACTTAATTTCTTAAACTAAAACATAATTGAATCATCTTAGCCAGACGGTGATCATCAACAGAAGTAAACATATTTCTGTCAATTACAGTGCTGATATTTTTAAGATTTTTTAACTGCACAATTACTAGTTTCGATCCCATGCCATTTAGGGTATACTGATTTCGTTGTTGGTTGCTGATCCTCGGGTCTACAGCTGCTGTTGATGACCTTCCCAACGACTGCAGAACATACTCTTGTACATGGTGTGTCGAATTTTCTGTACATTTATTCATGCATCTTTGAAATAATTTGTCATAACATTAAAACAGTCAGTCGTCAAGGTTTCAAGTTTCCTCTTTCGTTTCAAAATGCCGAGAATCTTACCACGGGTTCTTAAAAAAAGACCGAGAGCACATCGACATAAACTTAAAGAGCCACAATTGCAAACATTTGCTTCGCCGCGGCCACGGACGTGCCTCCCCATTCATTTACCGGATGCTGATGCTTCTTGCGATGAAGTACGGAATTCGTCAACGGAGAGTGCCTCTTCGAACGAATTTATGGATATAGAGTATTTGGATCAAGCTTTTGACGAGACAATATGGAAAAATCTTGTTCCGTTGACTGAAAACGAGTATGGAAACAATGTTAGTGACGGATTTAATTTTATCAATGCACACGTTTGTTAGCTATTAATTTGTTTTTTAATGTGTTTCCTATGCAGAATACAGATGAATCAATTAGAACAACTGATGTTTCTCCCAGCTCCCAATTGAAAGCAGATCTGGCAGGTTGGGTTTCAAAATACAGTGTTCCGTTGGCCGGAGTCTCCGATTTACTGAAGATTTTGAAGGAACATACTGGATTGGATTTGCCAAATGATGCGCGTAGTCTTCTTAAAACACCAAGAAAATCCAACGTTCGGGAAATGTGCAATGGAGAATACATTCACATTGGTATAGCGGAGTTTTTGAACCAGTTCAATTTGATGGATCATATCAAAGAAGGACGACCAATTATTCTATCTTTTTCGGTGCGAACGATTTGTGGATTATATCGGGAGCTATCCATACCGAAGGGTTTATACGGCATGTATTCATCGTAGGAATTTTCAATGGACCATAAGATTATAACAAAACAGGTGTTATAGTTTGTTACCGCTTTTATTAAAAAAAAACAAGAGCAAAAATTTCTTAGTCTTTGAGCATTTTAATCACTTCTTTTTAATTTCAAGATCTTACTCAGTGTCCTCATCCAAGACTTCATCCTCATTGTGGCCATCGTTAAGCTCCATCTTAAGCAGCGGAACAGTCAACTTTTGTCTGCTGACTCGTTGTCGGCTTACGGACCCAGATTGCTTGCGCTTACTGCTCCTAATCCGATCACATGCATGTTGCATTTGGTACCGAAATTCGACACACGCTTGGGCTGCTGGGTTCTCCGTGTTGTCAAAGAGCGAATGATCGACGAGAGCTTCTGTAAGATGCAATAATATGTATTATATTTTGAATTCAGCAAAAATAAACTACTTACTTATTAATACTTGTGTCGAGCACAAACTTTTGAGTGCCTGTTTGCCACCAGCCCCAGAATAGTTCACTTGAGACTGCAATGCAAGGTCATACACTTTCTCAATGAAAGCCATGGTTATCACTTTCAGAGGCTTTTTAAACAGTACGAAAGATGCTAAGAACTTTTCCTGCAAATAAACGATATGAGTTCACTAATAAGCAACATAAACAGAACATAAATTGTACCACTTACAAATTTCTTTTTGTTGTCGTTTTTTCCCAGCAACTCCTCGAATCTGATCAATGCATCAGTGGATCCCAGAGGCATGAACTCTCTAATCGGATTAAAAAAATCCTGTGTTGACGATGTACCCGGTGGCAATCCTTGCTGGACCAGGATTTGTACTTGCTCCTTAATAAAAGTCACATCGGCCTGTAGCGCTCTTATTGAATCCGCTTGCTCGTTGTATACATCCAGCGGAAGTGTCACTACTACTGCCTGATTATTTTGAGTTTCCTCCAGCACCTCTTCCTCAATTTCAGGATTGAAACTTGGATCGGACATCTTCGTGTTTATTTGTTCATTCAGAAATTTTATAAACATATCCATCTGTCACATGATGTATCGAACTATTTTTACCCAGCGGTGCAAATCGATAACAAGGGGATTATGAATGTGCATCGATGGCATTCTTTGTTGTTCTTTAGCGAAGTGCAACGATACGATGGTATAAGAATTTAAATAGTTTTATATTAATATCTATGAAGAAAGCTCAAGCCCTTGCGATATATCGAAATTGGACGTAATTTATTATGGCACCTTTATAGATTTCTATAATACTACCGATAAAGAAATTTTCTTAAATGTGAGTATCGATCAATAAATATTTTTAAATATACGTATCGCAATCAAACAAATTTCAAGGTAAAGAATTATCGACAAAAATCTTTATTTTTGCATAAAGAACTTTAACGAAGTTTCACGAATGGTTGGTCGGGCAGTGGGAACAGGAGTGATAGAATTTTGAGAAATTTTTGCGTTGTTATCCCCAGTGCACAGTGTTTGAAGCCTATATCTGGATCAACAATAGAAAAGGGCCCATCAGCATTTATAAACAAACCGTTCCAAAGCCCATTTCTCATAGATCGAAGGCCGCCCACACAAACCAATACCATTATCGGGTAGGTAGAAGTTTCCCCTATCCGATGATGGTGTTGGTTTGCGTAGGTAGCCTTCGATTTGTGAGTAAAGGGCTTTGGAACGGTTTGTTTACAAATGCTGATGGGCCCTTTTCTATTGTTGATCCAGATATATGATAGCCACCCAGGATGTGATTTCCGGCGGTATGTTTGGCACAAAAACGTTGAAGACATTTACTGGTTGTGCCACCTAGCAGTGGACACCATTGGCAATATTGCCTATGTAGCGTACACCGAGCAACGGATTCGCCAAGTTTGTGCACCAACAGTTGGATCTTCGTGATCTTTTCAAGGTGTAATGATGTAATAGTTAATCCAAGGCAGGAACAATGTAAAAACACTTAGATATATATCATAACAATTAAGGCTGGAAGGTTACTGTAGTAACTTGAACACCTAGGTTAAAATGAAATTTAATTTCAAATTTCAATGGAACAAATAAAGAGTTAAAAAATGTAATAGTTAAGAGCAGAGCCATTATGTTCCCGCATAAGCGCGAACCATAAATTGACCTTACCGATAATGGTTATAAATTGTTTATAATCCCTGCTAAACTTCAACTGAAATGGTTATGGAACTTTACATAAACGTTTAATGATAAAGTTTTAACCTTAAGTATTATAGTTTTTTGGAAGTGGACCTTACAAATAATGGATTGTTAAGAACCATAACCATTCCAAATTCTTGTTTTCTCCATACATTTTCGGAAAGAAAACTATACTAAAACCTTTTAACTTATGGTTTAAGAACAGTAATGGTAATGGTTATGGTAACCAGGAAGGTCAATGAATGGTTTTGTAACATCGATCAACTTTATGTGGAATATATCGCGAATTGGTTGCCTGTAAATTACTGATTACCAATTCACGATATATTTCACGTAAAGTTGAGTGATAATATAAAACCATTAATGGACCTTACTGACTACCATAGCCATAACCATTAATATTCTCAAACCATAAGTAAAAACGTTCTAATATAGTTCTCTTTCCGAAAAGAATTTGGAATGGTAATGGTTCTTAACAATCCATTATTTGTAAGGTCCGCTTCCAAAAAACCATAACACATAAGGTTAAAACTTTATCACACAAACGTTCATGTAAGGTTTCATAACCATTTCAGTTGAAGTTTAGCAGGGATTATAAACAATTTATAACCATTATCGGTAAGGTCATGTGATGGTTCGCGTTTATGCGGGTTGCCAGTCGTTGTAAATATGAGAAGAAAAATAAATATTAATGGAGTAAAACCATAGAGGTAACTCTAAAGGCTGGCGCACAATGCATACGTTCTCGGGTTTTTTGAAAGATAATGCATGGGCTAACTGTCAAAAAACCAGAAAACGTATCAATTGTGCGGCGGCCTTAAGACTAGTAGCAACAATCAATACGAAACTAACGATTTTAAATTGGCTCACCACTTTAGTAGCCTATTGGTCCCAAGCAAACGATTAACGTACCCTATTCTAGTTGAAATTCTATTACTACACTATGTTTGTTTTGATTCGCTATGAAAGTTTGACAGATAACATCAGGTGTGTGTGGATTCATGCAGAACATGCAGGGGTGAGTGAAATAGCTTGGGACTGCTTGGGACCGTTGTTCTGAAACTGAGTGAGCCAAAAATAATAATGATTTTCTTCGGGACCCAGTGGTCTTAGAGTTACCTCTATGCTAGTAGCTAGTAGCATAGAGGTAACTCCATAGAGGTAACTCTAAGACCACTGGGTCCCGAAGAAAATCATTATTATTTTTGGCTCACTCAGTACCAGAACAACGGTCCCAAGCAGTCCCAAGCTATTTCACTCACCCCTGCATGTTCTGCATGAATCCACACACCCCTGATGTTATCTGTCAAACTTTCATAGCGAATCAAAACAAACATAGTGTAGTAATAGAATTTCAACTAGAATAGGGTACGTTAATCGTTTGCTTGGGACCAATAGGCTACTAAAGTGGTGAGCCAATTTAAAATCGTTAGTTTCGTATTGATTGTTGGTAACTCTAAGACCACTGGGTCCCGAAGAAAATCATTATTATTTTTGGCTCACTCAGTACCAGAACAACGGTCCCAAGCAGTCCCAAGCTATTTCACTCACCCCTGCATGTTCTGCATGAATCCACACACCCCTGATGTTATCTGTCAAACTTTCATAGCGAATCAAAACAAACATAGTGTAGTAATAGAATTTCAACTAGAATAGGGTACGTTAATCGTTTGCTTGGGACCAATAGGCTACTAAAGTGGTGAGCCAATTTAAAATCGTTAGTTTCGTATTGATTGTTGGTACAACCATAGAGGTAACTCTAAGACCAGAAGGTCCCGAAGACACGTGCTCAACTTTTTGGCTCAGCTCTGGTACTATCTTCGGTCCCAAGCTAATCGATTCACCCCTCGAAACATAGGATAAACCAATAACCCCTCATTTTATCTGTCAAACTTTCATAGCGATTCAAAACAAACATTGTGTAGTACTAGAATTTTGACTAGAATGGGGTAGGTTAATCGATTTGCTTGGGACCAATAGGCTAGTCAAGTAGTGAGCCAATTTCAAATCGTTAGTTTCGTATAGATTGTTGGTACAACAATGTACTTTGTATGTCTGTACAAATAATTATCAAGTTAAAGCGGCAGGTGGACGGTCGAACGACCTTTCCGAAAACCAAACTGTTCCTCGAGTAACAAGTTGTTTTCATCGGCAGATGTTAGGAGCCGGTGGTACACTGCTCTTTCGAACAGTTTTGATAACCCTGAGAGAAGGCTGATTGGTCGATAACTTGAAGGAGAGGACGGATCCTTCTCAGTTTTCCGGATGGGTATGACTTTAGCTGACTTCCCACACGAGGGGAAGTAGCCAAGTCTGAGGCACTGATTAAAAATCAGTGTCAGATGGTTGTAGAATCTGGAACTCAAGTGTTTGAAACCTGGGGCCTTCATGTTTTTAGATGATTTGATATAGGCCAACAGTTCGTCAGCCGTAATCTCGGATTCCTCTGGAAAAATTTTAGGAATCGGATTTCCTCGTTGGAAATCTCCATCGTCCGAATTTCAGACCCGTCTTCCACCATCGTCGCACTTCGTTCGATAGGGTTCTCTGCCATTTGGTCAGACCTTTTTAATGATACCAAGACGTTGGGAGCTGTCGGCTGAATATCACCCTTAGTGACCTTCAGCTGCGTTCGGTGAGCGGTGGTGACCACGCTTCCAATCTGAATTTGGAATATATTTTGAGAAAACTTTTTAATAAATACAACTTTTATCCATCTTACAGTTTGGTAAATGCTATGGTTTTCGTACCATACTTCATCTCCTGATGTCAGATTATCTAACAAATCATTTACTGTATTAGGACATTTATCAACCTCAGGTTTGTTAGAATCATCATTCAGTGGTATGGACAAATTACTCTTAAATTGCTTCTTTGGATTGATTAAGTCTAAGATTGTTTTTGGAGCGAAGTTAAAAACATTTTGTGATGGAAATCTTCCATCCTCTGTCAAGCAATTATTTCTGTAGTTGAACAGGAATAAGTTTATTTGATCTTCCAAATGCAGTCCCTTTACCTCAGGTTCAAATAGAAACTTCTTTAATACATCTTTAACAATCCTCACCGATCGTTCTGCCTGACCATTACTGGCTGGGTTGTACGGTGGACTTTTGAGTACTACTACCCCCTGGTTTTGAAGAAAGTTCACAAATTTATGAGAATTAAATGGAGGGCCACCGTCAGAAACCAAAACATCCGGAAGACCAAAACGAGCAAAGTACGCTGTCAATTTTCTAAGCACTTTTTCACAATCTGACACAGTTTTCATCCATTCTACTTCGATCCACTTTGAAAAACTGTAGACTATTAACAAAAACGTACTGTTTGCGAAATGAAAAAAGTCAATATGAATCCTGCTGAAAGGTTTTGTGGTTGGAATCCATTTAGATTCAATTTTTGGTTTCGGAATAACAGCCATGCTATCAACAATTAATACGAAACTAACGATTTTAAATTGGCTCACCACTTTAGTAGCCTATTGGTCCCAAGCAAACGATTAACGTACCCTATTCTAGTTGAAATTCTATTACTACACTATGTTTGTTTTGATTCGCTATGAAAGTTTGACAGATAACATCAGGGGTGTGTGGATTCATGCAGAACATGCAGGGGTGAGTGAAATAGCTTGGGACTGCTTGGGACCGTTGTTCTGGTACTGAGTGAGCCAAAAATAATAATGATTTTCTTCGGGACCCAGTGGTCTTAGAGTTACCTCTATGATGCTATTGCAAGCATCGCACAGACGTACATATTTCTCAATATCAGTATTGATACCAAACCAGTACACAGTGCGTCGCGCCAACTGCTTCATTCTTACC